GCGGGGATGTGTCAAGTATTTAATCAGGGCCGAGTCGAGTCTACGAGAGACAATAGATGGGCGACCGACCGACCCTCCTCCTCCTCCTCCTCCTCCTCCTGCATAGGGCCTATCCCCCTCCATTACCATCCCTCTTACCACCGTTGTCTCCTTCATCTCCTGCTCTCCTTCCTCTCTCGTTCTGCCTCCACTATGACTAGGGGTGCAATTATGTCGACCTCATTTCAGGACAGCTTCACTCCTTCCTTTGAATCGTACCGCAGCTCCTCGTATCTCTCCTTCCTACCCTCCATCTCTCTCTCTCTATTCAACGAAATCGTCCTTTGCGCGGTTACACTCTTCTTTTTCCTCTGGTTATCCTCCCTGTCCTCTTATTCTTCCCCGGTAATTTTCCTTGTTTCTCTTTTACTTTTTTCTTTTTTTTTTAGTTTTTGCAAGAGTTCCTTATCTTTCTCCCCCTTCCCTTTTTTCCACATCTTTTTATTTACGCCGCTTTTTCGGTATTACACTCACCTCGTTGCTTTCTTGACGAGCTTTTGTTTATTCCCCCGGATTATGTGCTCCTTATGTGCTCGAACGAATTACGATCTTTTTTATTTCTCTTCTTACTGCCTCCGCTGATGCAGCGCAGTTGTAATCGTGTTAACTCCGAGGGGTAATCGCTCGGAAAGAAGATTGTTGCCGTTTTGACAAGTTGTCGTTTTCTTTTTCTTTTTTCTTTTTTTTTTTTTTTTTTTTTTGTTGCTCGAGTATCATCCTCGAGGGATGATATTCGAGATGTGGTAGGAGTGTGTGATCTCTACGTGGAAGGATAATTGAATGGATGGCAAAATTTTTAAGAGTAAGATTTAAAAAAAATCTTTTCTTTTCACACTTTAACGTAACAGGAACTGGAACGAAGAGACGTTGAGTTCACTCTTTATTGATCGTAATCTGAACACTTGGTTTACAAATTACGGCAATACGCGCTCTTTAAATATACAATGGATGGTATTTTGTCAGACATACAAAGGTAAAAATACCATCCCGGTATTCCGTTTGTAAGCTTCGTTATCTGATTACAGGAGGCATGCTACTCCTAAGTATTCACGATCTTGATCTGTGTCTGTGACGGCCGTTCTCCGAATCACGCGCGATTTCTACAAATTCTCGAGATACACGCGAACCAACCAACCAACCAGCGATTTTTTTCTAAAAAAAAAAAAAGGAACCTTTGAACTTTACGAACAGTCTTTGAAACGATTAATCGTCGAAAGAAGATTATTCCACTGTAAAGATTTTTACGTGTGTTTAAAATAGCGGACAAATATTGTATCAAAGAAAAAATCGTGTATCAAAATTTTTAAATTTCCAAATAACAATAATTTTATCGCGCTCAATAAATTCCTAAATGAAACGATTCTCGAAAAATCCTTGAATTTTACGCTACACACAATTATATATAAAAAATTCTTAACAAAATTTGATGAATTATCAACAATTTTGAAATATGACAATTTAGCTGAAAATTCTCGAAGCGTGTAATAATAATAATAATTTGTCGAATCGAACATCGTTTCAATAAGATTCGCGCATCGGATATTTTGTATCGTTCATCAAATTACGGAACGAACGCATTATTAGTCGCATTTCGAGGGATGACAGTGGAGGGAAAAGATGACGTAAATACGAGAAACGCATTGTAAATTAGAGTTTCGGAATTGTCACGAAAACCGGTATCAAATTTATGGACAACCCGAGCTGGAAAATCTAAATCCCTCGTGATTGTCTGTCAATTATTTATGATTGGCGGCAATTTGTCCAATGGAGTATAAGCCCCATTGGGATGGGGGGTTTACCGGCTGTCATCCAACGTTTCGGACTGTATTACCCGTTTTTACTCCTCCCCGTCCCATCCGCTAATGTAACAGCCGCTCGAGAGCAAAAAATAATTTGCGGCTGGCAATATCCACCCCGTGTATTACGTGCGTGACAACCATACCGTCTCGACTCCTTTCGAAAATACTTGGAAACGTGTATATATATATATATATATATACATATATAACCAATCCCTTGACTCGATTAACTATCCGAGATAGGCCCGTGATAAGGAAACGTCGTGGAGAAGAAAAAGGTCGTTCGTCGTGGTCTTCGTTATCGAAGAGAATTCTCGCGTAATAGGGGTTGTAATGTTCTATGTAACGATATGGCATCGTGGCAAGTGTTGCAAAAAAAAAAGAAAGAAAGAAAGAAAGGAAGAGGAAAAAAAAAAAAAGAGAGAAAGAAAGAAGGGAAGAGGAAAAAAAAAAAAAGAAACGAAGAAACACCACGCGTCGGGAATGGAATGGAAAACGAAAGATGAATCGCGGTTGGAATCCCGTGCGAATATTTTCTGGGCCATTTCAGAGAGAGAGAGAGAGAGCCAGGAATTCTTTCCATCGGCTTCATTCCAAGCGGCGATAAGGGAGGACGATATACGAAATGATCCTCGCGTGATGAGGCCACATCGATTCACCCCTCGCCTCCCCTCCCCGAGACCTAATGTAACCCTCCCGTTTGACCGATCGTTAAATTATTTTTGATTGTAATTTAAATTAAAACGAAGTACGAGAAGGGATAAGGGATAAGCGTTATTGCGTGTCGTATCGCGGCGTTTGATCGATAATTCGTTCACGATTATTGCGACTAGACAGTGAGAAAATAATAATTTCGATTTCTTAAAGAGATCGCGTAATCTTGTGGAGAATGTTGTTTTCTATAATTATATTTCTAAGCTATTATATTTATAAGTTGGATTAGGAGAGGTTAAATTATTTTGATACTTCGATGTATGTATTTATATTTATTTCGATAAAGTTTGAAAATTGTTTCTCGTCTTATTGATACCGACAATTTTGATTCCGCGATCAAAAGACTGCGTTCAATGGTGGGTCGAGGAAATACGTCGATAAAACGGAACTTATGGAACAGATGTGAAAGAAAAAGCATTTAGAAAATATTTCAAAAGCTATTAAAACTTTTTCAGTCGAATAATCTTTCTTTCTCCCTCTTCCATGCTGCTTAGTTCAGGAAAAGAACCTTTAGGAGATAACTTAATAATTGAACGAAATTGCCTTCGATAAAGTACCACGAAGCTATTTACTCTTTAATTTCTGATTTTCTTGATCTAACTTTATGTCGGTCTAGTTATCAATATTTACTTCTTCTTTTAATAATTCGGAAATGAGAAGTTTTTGCGAAAGACACAATCAAATATGCAATCATCGCGATTTTTGCACATATATTGATAACTCTTTTAAATTCCTAAAAAAAAATTTTGCACTTAATATTTGATGTCTGTATTATCAAATAGTAGCAGAGTGCAAAATTTTTAATGAAATTGTAATAAATATTAGAAAATATATAAAAAGAAACGAACGAAAATTAATCTAAATGTTTGGTAAAACTGTAACGAAATTATAAAAAAAAAAAAAATTAAAAAATTCATCTCTATTCGATTATATTAGCTTCGTTAAGGTAACGCAAGAATTTACAACTTGTTTCTTGGCTATAAATACTTATCGATGTTCACGATTGATAATACAATTAAATTAGATACGACTTTTCCCTATGTTACATTGTCAGGATCAGCGAACCCATTGTTTCTCGAGAAATATCTAATTTTGTTCCTCGTTTAACATCGTTACCGTTCCTCTAGCGACCTAAGTTCTCCTTGTTTTATCAGTTACTTTTATCATCCTTATCACGTTCATGAATCACTCATGGATTCGTTCAACGAATTCAATTTTCGACATTGATTTTAATTTAATTCCGTGAATGTATTTTCGATACCGATTTCTTAATCTTTGTTCGTTGTTTGTTCATCTTGTAAGATGAAAAATATATCTAATTAGCTAAGATTTACTGTATAATTCTGTATGAATGTTGTATCCAACCAATAAAGATTAAGATCATCGATATTACTTTACACACTTTTATTTCAAATTTATACGAATTTGAAATTAAATCAAAATTTGTAAAAAATTAATATATAAAAAAACAAAATAAAGAAACTTAAATCCCGATCTAATTATCCTAATATCAAAGAGAAAATTATTTATATTATTTTCAACGTAAAGATTTCTCTTGTTTCCTTTAAATAACATTTTCTATTTAAATAACATTTAATTTATGCGAAATAATTATATATATATATATATATTTTTTCTGATTAATATTTAAACTCAATTTGTAGAAAATACGACGAATACTCGAACTAACTAATGAACAATATTTACGAATAATTCGTTTCCCGAATTAACGTACTCGAACGAAATTTTACGCAAAAACTCGCACGCATCGTTTTAAAAATGTTGCAAACCGATCGCGATTTAACGTTTAACAGATTTGATCGTCGTTCGATGTTAAAAACGTTCGATAAATCAGCAAAAACAACGACGCTTCTTGGATATACGCGAAACGAATAAACGGTTCATTTCACGGTTCCGCACGAAAGAACATTTTTCAACGTTTTTATCCCGGGCAAAATCCACGTCCATTGTTTCGCTCTACACGGTGATCGGGAAAAATCAACGGAAATCCTACGAATTTCATTCTCGCGTGTAAACGGGCGCATGTGTGCGCCCGTGTTTACAAATTTATATCAAAGATTGTCTCCGCGGTGCAATATCAGCGGCAACACTTGTTGCTCTTTCAACGGAACTCCTTACAAAAGATTGATGTTTCCATTTCACATTCAACGGGACGCATTTTCATTCATGAATCGCTCGAAAATTGCGCCCGTCGTCGTCTCGACACCCCTCGCCAACCTCGGTGTTACCCACCGCTTCGCGTGCACG